GCATTACTGGAAGACATAGTTATACCATATCGTGTATTTATCATGGAACTTATTGTCCAACACTATTGACCTGGCACTTCATTAACTTTCGTAAAGGTCATTGGAAAAACACTGGTATATAACGAATATATAGAAATATTTGTTACTATTAGTCTATTACACGTCAGTGAGGTGTGATGTGCTGTATTGGTATAGATGCCGGGCTGTGAATCTGAAAGTATCAATTCTTAACCGACACCACGTAATTAAAATACACATTTTGACGAATTACTTGTAACAATTAATTTGAAATCGTTGTACTACATCTTGTTTTACGATACCTTTTAAGTAGTTTCCTTACTACATTTGTATATTTTACTTTATTACAAATTACGGCGCGTTTTAATACAAATCAACAAATCGACTTGTCGATTTCATTGGCTGGTCAGTCGTACTTCACATATTGCTGTTCTGTTGATTTGTTTTATCGGGATGTTTCCGTAAATACTCAAACGTACGTATGTTTTTCTTTAGAAGGTTTATTTTTCAACGGTTTTTCTTGTGGCATTATGCAATCGTATATGCTTTAGCGCATACACCCTATATATTGGCTAAACAAGGATTTGAGTTTGAAGTAAAAGACCTTTACCGATTTCGCTAAGAGGAATTCTTTAGACCATTTATATCGTTTTACCAAGAGACCGAAACGTTCATTGACCGACTATAGGGTCAAATGCAAGAGTGCCATGTCAATATTGTTGGACAATAACATGTTTTATATTTTGTAGCCTCTAATTTAATGACACAACCGGAGATGACATATGCCCTCCTTACGTTTTATGGCCATGGCTATTGGGCGACGCATGCCTTTGTTCATGAACCTGTCAGCTGTGCCAACGCTGTAGGAAGTACAGTAATGATTGACAAGAATCTATACAAGACGCCGTCCACTGTGACGCATTTACAACGCCACCATATAAAGAGAAACCTCATCGGAGAAACCTCATAGGGAAACCCTTATACGAGATAGATAACCGGTTTATATACGCTCCATGGAAACATCACTCATGTCTATCAAAAAGTGAAATATTAGGCATGTTGTTGCAATGTAACTTTAAGTTAATGAATGTCGATTTGATCCTTTTATCATAGAACATGTAATAACATGTATATAATTTTAAAGTAAAACCCTTTACCTATTGCTACATGCTAACGTATTGTAACTTTCACCTAAAATAACGTAGCAGAACATACCCACTGAGCCAGATTTTCGTCATATGCATAGTTATGTAAAAAAAGTTAATACATGTAAGTACTTCTCTTCAAAATAGTTATAATTTATCATGCATTTAAATGGGAACTGTAAATGTTTTACTTGCAGCCACATACAAAATTTATATAAGCTTTTAGAAAATGTATTATTATACTGACTTTGATATCTGGTTGATAAGGTTTACTTGCTACAAGTTTTAAGCATGTTATTTTAACGGGACTTGACTATTGCCTTTGTAACAGCATGCTCGGTTACCGCATGGCAATGATGGGACATTTCAAAATTGCCATAAATCACTATTTTGCGTATTTTTTCACATCAAAACTAATTTAAAAGTGATGGGGGTGGGGGGGGGGGGGGTGAAAAAGGCGTGTATTTATGGTAATGAATTAAAAGGGAGTTTGTAATGCTAAATATAACTTTGGTGATTAAGCTTGCCCTATATATTGTGTTATGTGTCAGAATAAGATATTAACACAGGGTAGGGCCGCAAAATGAATAATGGTCACGAGGGCTTCAGCCCGAAGGCATTATTTATTTCAGGGCCTGTTATCACTTTCTGGCCCGTCAATGGCGTGCATTAATGTCTTTAATACTTTTGATAGATCTAATAGAATTTAAAAAATACTTTGACATGTCTTTTGTTGAAATTCCTGGCTATGTGGTTTTCTAATGTACAATAACTTCTAAAGAGTTGCTTCACTTATGTGTATACAATACAATAGAATCAAGAAGCAAGTTTTTTCATTTTCTCGGACTGAATTTTTCCTATTTTTTTCTTTAAATTCCCCAAAAACTGTTTTTTGAACAAAATACGCTTAAGTTCATAAAATTAAGCAATTCGTACTTAAAACCTACTTTCACTTTTACACGATGTAAATTGTGACGTATGCAATAATCCTCCGCAATATGGAGATTTCTGTACGACACGTGCTGCTAAAGTGAAATTAATAAAGAAAGGAACAAGGTCGATCAACGGCATGAAAATTATGGTGACTCACATCTATTTTTAAAGACTTAATTACGTTGTATTGTTATATCGTTTTCCGTCTCTATGAGAAAATTTGCTATCTTTTAGAAATCAAAATATCCGTTGAAAACCAGAAGATGACTCCAACTCATTAAATTTTGATGAAGATAGTGCATACTACTTCAAACATTTACATGTAATTCGTTTCGGCAGACCGATAGCATAGTTACTTAATGTTATTTAAAACTGCAAGGAATAATGAATACACGAAGACATCATGCTTGAGTATTGAATTCAAAGCGTATTTTATCCTGTAGGTCGATGCTCTACATCAAGCCTTTTTTCAGTCTATGAAATCTGCGTTAGCAAACAATTCTATAAAATGAAAAAAAAAGCACAACAAACGGTGGTAAGAAAAAATCTCATTATTATTATTTTATTATCATAATTATTATAAGAGAATTGTAAGCTCAGTTCAAACTTTCTTTGCATGAAAGTATGTGTCATTCAGCCCCAAAGTAGAAATTGATAATCTTTTGATGGGCTGCTTCAGTGGCAAACGTCGCCATTTTTAATGTGCTAAAATATAATAATAAAAGTATTATAAAGATATATGTCTTGCGATTTCCTTAAAAGTTTGTCAAACAACGTTAGAGGGTAAATTTAAATAAGAACGGTTACGAAATTATTGAGTACAAAATAAATTATTCTACTTGTATGTGGCACTTTTAGGTCTATCTAAATTTAGTAATCACAATTGTTTTTATTTGTGAAACCAAGGCCGTAAAAAATGTGATTTTTTTGCTCCCAATTTCGGGGGAGCATATAGTCGCCGCCTTGTCCGTCCGTCCTTCCGTCTTTCCGTCCGTCCGTCCGTCCCCTTTTCTTGTCCGGGACATAACTTTGAAACAACAAGAGGTATCAACATGAAACTTTGTAGGTAGATAGATCTCATTGAGTAGGTGTGGAGTGCACAATAACCGTAACTCTGCCTTGCCTAATTTTTGAATTATTCCCATTTGTTTATTTTTACACTATGAACTTTGTCCGGGACATAACTCTAAAAGTATAAGAGGTATCAACATGAAATTTTGTAGGTAGATAGATCTCATTGAGTAGGTGTGCAGTGCACAAGAGCCGTAACTCTGCTTGCCTAATTTTTGAATTATTCCCATTTGTTTATTTTACACTTTGAACATTTTCCGGGACATAACTGTAAAACTATAAGAGGTATCAACATGAAACTTTGTAGGTAGATAGATCTCATTGAGTAGGTGTGCAGTGCACAAGAACCGTAACTCTGCCTTGCCTATTTTTTTTATTACCCCCCCCCCCCCCTTTGTTTATTTTCACTTTTTGAACTTTGTCCAGGACAAACCTCTAAAACTATAAGAGGTGTCAACATGAAACTTTGTAGGTAGATAGATCTCATTAAGTAGGTTTGCAGTGCACAAGAACTGTAACACTGTCTTGCCTACTTTTGGAGTTATTGCCCTTTGTTCATTTTGACACTTAGAACTTTGTCCGGGACATTACTCTAAAATTTTAAGAGATATCAACATGAAACTGTGTAGATAGATAGGTCTCATGGGGTGGAAGTGCAGTGCTTAAGAATCATTACTCTGCCTTGCCTTATTTTGAAGTTATTGCCCTTTGTTTATTTTTACTTTTTGACTTTTGTCCGGGACATAACTTGAAAACTATTAGAGATATCAACATGAAACTTTGTAGGTAGCTAGATATAATAAGATAGAACTGCAATGCTTAGAGAACCTAAACAAAGCCTGGTCTAATTTTGGAGTTATTGCCCTTTGTTCATTTTTACACTTTGAATTTTACCCGGAACATAACTCTGATATCATCAGGAAACTTTATAGATAGATAGATCTCATTGAAAAGAAGTGCAGTGCAAAAAACATAACTCCGCCTTGCCTAATTTTGAAGTTCCTGTGTCCAGAACCTTCTCGGGGAGCATCACCCGGTTCAACCGGTTCTTGTTTAATAAAGCTGACAATATTGCATATGATTACAAAATACATAAAGTCAAACGTAAAAACAAGTAATAGGGGAGTCCGGAACACCTAATTCAAATATGTAACATAGAAGTTGTTCTATTTGAAAAGATATCAATAATAGTATGCTTATAATTTAATATCTATGTTTAGAAAATGGGTTTTTGTTTAGTTACAAGAAATTTTTATATCATTGTTATGCAAGTATTGCTAACATTTGTATATGTATATAAACTTAGAAATAACATATGCAATTTAACCAGCTTTACTTCAGCCGTGTATCTTTTTTAAAGATATTTCTTGTTCATAATCAAATTGAAATCTGCTCAATGAAAATATATGTACTTTCTAAAGTGGTGTATGTTTATCACAGAGGTTCGTATAGGATACGGTATATCAGTATTAAACCACCTGGATTTCAATAATAAACACTTGAAGGTGACAAGCGAGCAAATATACGAGTTTTCAGTGATATAAACGGGTGCAACTCAATGGCTAGGGTTTAAAACAAGGCACTATCATGTCAATAGGAAATTTACAATTGTCATTAAACAACAGATAAGCAAGTATTGTGCACTTGAAATATATACATCTGTCTATAAAAGTAATAAAACTATTGTAAAGTGGATTTCACAAGTTGATATTCGCATAAAGTTAAAGGAGCAACTTTCATACAAGTTTACAAAATTTTAGAATTTAAGTCTCATATATAGCCAGTTTCATGCAAATTACTCTTCGTGATTTCATTTCTGCTTTCTCCTTTTATAAGTTTATATGTCTGTCATATACAAGAGTTTACCACCTGATAAAAACGGTTTTAAAAGGACGTATGAACCTTTCACATATTCTTTTGTACGTAATGCCCCTTTAACAATGTGAGATTTCTAGAAGCCATAAATCTCAAAGACAAACGTTAGAAAAGTAACTTCATATTCATTTAAAATTGAGAAATAGACAGATGTATATAAGTGTATAGAAATGAATAATAGAAAGAAGCAAAGTGTTCAGTGCCGAAAACCCAATAGTTTAAATCGAAAACCAATAACAGCAAAAAATATCGCAATCGTACAGGAACAGTACGAGAGAGAACTAAAATTACGTGAAAAATCTAAAATAGTTTTAAATGGCACAGTGAAAATCGACAAGACATCAAATGACGGTTTTACAGATGAAAATGACCTGGAATACGAGTTCTTGTATTCAGTAAGTGACGAAGAAAATGGCGATCATTACAGTTACGAGTTCGATGCTTACCCAGCCATATCAAAACCCACGAGCACCGTGGCGAATGAATTTGATAACTTTGATGACACGTTTTGTAGCGAAACTAATGTAGAAAGTAGCTTAATTAACGAAACTATCCGAAGTGAGTGTTGTCCCAGAGGAAAAAAGGTAGAACGCGTGAAATCTGCAACTAAAATCATACCTAAAAATAAAAAGGGTTGTCTATCTAGAAGACCTAAATCAGCATCACTTGCTAAATCAACGGAACAGGAAAATGCTGAACTGTGTAGAGAAAAGTTTAAGGATGAAATCACAAAAGAAGTTGCTTTTAAAGACACAGATAGCGTGGTTAGTAAATCTTCGTCATCTCGTTCTAGAATTAGTGCACCTGGCAAAACTCGTCGGTATGAGAGACGAAAGTCTGTAAGCTATGACCCTGACCTTGAAAAGGCGTCTGCGTACATACACGGTGGCGGCAAAAATTTCAGCCGCAGTAATACTTCATTGACTCCCGTTAAATATGGCATGACTCACCTACAGATGAATTACACCGAAACTAATTTAGAAACAAACCAATGTGTTATTTTTCTTGACCTACTGAAGAATTCGCACCAGAAAAGTCAAATACGCGGGGAGCAAATACAAAATATCGAACGCAGACTTGAAGCAAAAAGAAACAATCCACTTCACTCTACCTCGTTTTATGAAAATAAGAATATTCCAGACCCGTTTCACAGGAACGCTAAGAAAACAGCGCGAAGTGTTGCTCAGAAGAAATTAGAACGGAAGGAAAAGATTAAACAAATGACTGACGAGATTCATACAGGATATGTACCAACACAGCTGACCATGAAAATTGCTGATCGAAGTGAGGTGGAGGACATTGGTAATAAATGTCGGTATCTTAGATGTCAAACACCATCAAAATAAAAATTACGGATATATTTTTTTTAAAACAAAGGGAATTTTTATGAATAAATGATAAGACTAAACAATACGCTGTTATTAGTATGATGTCATCCATATATTATTCCTAGTAAAGAAAACAATAACAGTTAGGGGGAAGAGTGCGGTTGTAATGCTTCATAAGCAATGATATACAGACTTGACAGTCAGTCATCGCCATGAAGAAAACTTAAACATTTCATAACATGTGTGTATTTAAAAAAATTCTAGAGATATAAATTCTACTAAATTTGGAATATTAATGAGTATTTCATGTTCAAAACTAATTACTAGAAACATGTAGCGATATCATATCTTTAATTTTTGTAAACTTTTTTTCGGGTGTTTAAAACCACAGTGTCTCAACATTTATTTTTTGTCATTGCGCAAAAGAAGGAGAACATGTTCGTTGTTTATACAAAATCCGTATTTATGGAGCATTTCACATAAAAAAAGCCAACAGTTGAACAGTTCAAAGTCTGTTAGCTGTGTAATTAGAGTTAACATTGTATCAGTATCATCAATGACGCAATGAAAAATTAAAGTTACGTAAATTCATGCATTTACATAATAAATGTTAAATAAATGTTAAATAAATGTTAAAGTTAACACCACCGGCTTTCGATTTAAAAACTGATATTAATTCGCTGTAGAGTATTAGGACATTGATTATGCGTATTTAAGAAACAAATGTCTGTAAAAGTTGAAATACAAATGTATAAAAATATTTAGCCAATTGGCCATAAAATCACAGTGGAGATCTACCCTTTATAAACTGTAAAGTTTTACCAAGAATGCCATTTGAAATTCATAGTTTGTAAGGTCAATAACAAAAGAATTCATAAGGAAAACTGTAAAATATTTTATCTACTATTCAGATGCATACATTTTTTTAGGAACGGATATTTTTTGCTTATTACTGAAATATCGTGAACATTATTATATAGCGCAATTCAATCATACCATACCTTTTAACAGAAATATGCGTTTTTATTTTTTTTTTAAATGGTTAACAATAAAAAAGAAAATTATTTGATATATTTTATGTATTTCATTTACTACTTACAAATTGAAAGTAAATCAAAATCACATACTTTGGTTCCCCCTTATGAATTCAAACGTTGGATTTTCCTGTGTGCTCCATTACAACTTGAGGCAATGGGGTTGATAGAATATGTAATCTGGCTGTGATTATAAAATATATTTTATGATGCTTTAAAATACAGTTTATTCCAGCTAGATTAATTGGGCAATGTTCTGTCTATTTTAATTTTACATTGTCTATTTTAATTGTACACAAATAAATGCGTTTATGAATAAATGTGCATTACAATGACTAATAATTTTTTTTAAATAAATTTTATATTCGATCAATTATTTTTACCAGCAGAAACATAAAATACAATGAAAATTGTTGTTTTTATTTGCTTGGGTCGTCAGACCAAACAAATAATGGTAGCGAATTTTCAGACCCTGATGTTCTTATTTGCAAATGCCGAAAGTAGTCCAAACTCCTCGAAGCGGTTACTTCCCTTCATATGTACATTAACGCCGAACAATTCAGGAGAGTTCACTGCGTGAAGCCTGTCAAATGACAGGCGCATTAATTTTCTTAACGAAAAAATAGTTCCCGGTTGGTCGAAGATTTCTAATATTTTGTTATTCTTATAGATACATGCTTATATTCAGCTCAATGATAATTTACTTCGGTGTTAAACAACGTTTAACAACAGGTTTACCGTGAACAAAATATATTGAAATTAATAAGGGTTACAAACTCTAATTTAGAATAATATGGTATTCTTCAGACTGTTACCTTTTAACTCCCCATGGTCGAATGGTTTACACGTTCGCTTTAGATTGGAGTGGACTGGAGTTCAAATCCCAGTTCAGGCAACTCATGTTTTTTTTGTTTTTTCTTTTTGTTTGTTTGGTTTTTTTTAAATTGTTTAAGCCAAATAAACATTGAATTAAATATCAGTGTTGCAATAAGTCTTTTTAGCCAATTTACTATAGTTATAACACTGGAAACAGCGTTGGTGACGCTATACAAACAAATTGGTTTATAATCTCACAACCTTCACCTTTTTGACATCCTGAGACCCAAACAATTTCAGCGCCTTCTGTGCTTTGATTTGTTATGGATATGCCATTTTGAAATCGTAAAGAATTAAACTTAACTAAGTAAAATAAAACATTTAGACAAGATTATGTAATCTGTATAATGAGCTTTCACTATTTTTGTCATGAACTTGTTACATTATTATGTTTTGAAGAAAAACAAATTGGTTTTATTTCATGAATTATTATAAATTGTTGTTTCAAATTATAATATAATTGGCAAATATAATAATGAAATATAGCAAGTTTTGTATTAAGAATATAAAGCAAGTATGACTATACACTTGAAGATGTTCAAAGCATTAGTTCAGGATTAACTGCAGTGATAAAAGTCTGATAAACTTCCAAACAAATTTGATCTTGAATGTAAATGGTACACTACTAATGTAGTTTAATGGAACACAGATCAACGTCAATCAGTTAATTTTCTAGCTTCAGATTTTCCATTTCCATTTCTTCATCATTTCTTTTCTCCAGCACATTTTCCATAAAATCTTCAGCAAGATACAAGATCTGTCGGAGAGACAACAGCGCTAAGATATTGACATTGTCGTCCAGCTCAACCTCGTTCTCGTAGTTTTTCACCGGAAGTACATTAGCACGTGGTAGTCCTAGCAATTGTGAAGCTTTATCCACGTGTTTCTCAACCACAGAGTTCTTGTAGGTCGTGGAAATATCTGCCTGAACCTCTTTACATAGTTTATCTATCTTCGTTAGTAGAATGATTTGTGGCACACCTTAAATTTAAAGTAAAATAGTGAATGATCTCCCAAAACCTGTTTTACAATATATCATCCTACTTTATGTAACATTTGAATCTACATTCGACCTTAAGTTGAAAGATACTTCATTTTACTCTTGTTTTAGAACATAAAGGGACAAAGACTGTTTTTTGTTGCTTTTTTTTTCAATATTATCTTCTCTATCTTTGTACAGTACATATAAAGTATTGACAAATATATATGAAATTAGTACCTCTCTGATTCATCAAGGTTTGGAAACTTTTCATTTTCTCTGTGATTTTTGCCGACATCACTTCAAGTGTTGTAGCGTCCATAACAAATACTGCACATGTAATCATGTCATCTGGTTTGGGATTTGCCTTGAAACCATGGCTCTTTGGAGTGATTGGTTTAGCCGGATTGAACTTTGAAAGAAAAATAAGAAGTAACTTTCTTATTGATTGAATAGCAAATTTCTGCTTAAAGTTTACATTATGTTTATCTATACGCTGTCAACTTGAGCTGAATTAGTTATATATTTCAGAGGATTGACTTTTATATTGACGATAGATCAATAATTGATAATGACAAATAAGGCTAAAATGTAAAAACTGCATAAAATATTAAAATACTACATTGTACCCTATTCTTTTCAAGTGAGCATAATTGCTAAATTAAGAAGGCTATTTATAAAAGTTTTGGTGGGTCTCGTGAGTTAGTCAATATTTTTGTGAAGCTGAGCACAATATTAAAAATAATTGAAGAACAATATATAGTTAATTTGTTTTTTATATGTACACTCACCATTTACAATTGGATGGAAATAATGTCACTATAACGGTAGCTAAATATGTAATGCTTTTGTATATAGATTAAGGAGATGGCAAACTTTGGCTTCTTGATTGAGAAAGTTTTCAAATACAGCAAAAAGCGAAATGAATGAGGGAATATATTATTGAGTTGAGTTTATACGAGAGTCAAATACCCTTTTATTTAAAATCCATGCGTTAATATACAACAATCTTAGGTCCGGGTAAACATTTTAAAGAAATATATAGATGTTTCAAAAGTTCTTTTCTTTTACAATCTTGGTTACAAGTATATACTACGGTTAAACAGTTATTAAAATCGAGAAATATGTCGTTCATTATTTTGTTCGTTACCTGATAGTAATTTGGAATGTTTCCATCTAGTAAGTAATTACATTCCATAACATCTAGTCCTTGTGATTCCTCTAAACCACGTGTGTCGCACAACCGAAAGTTAAGCGTAGCACCTGACCTTACCTTCACCTTGTAAGGCGTGTACTAGAAATGATAAAAATCTCTCTTAAATTACGAAGTATGTTAATAATACATTCAAACCATTTGGTTTATTAAAACGACATATATTTGAATATAAATAACAGAAGACTAGTTGTGTGGTATAACTCGACAGATACAACCTCATCTCTTCATTCTGGTGCCCCATACATGCTTCAGTATTTCTTCATTCCGGTGCCCCAAAATGGCTTCCACATTTCTACATTCCGGTGCCTCATACTGGCTTCCGTATTTCTTCATTCCGATGCCCCATACAGGCTTCCGTATTTCTTCATTCCGGTGCCACATACTGGCTTCCGTATCTCTTTATTCCGGTGTCCCATACAGGCTTCCGTATTTTTTCATTCCGGTGCCCTATACAGGCTTCCGTATCTCTTCATTCCGGTGCCCCATACTGGTTTCCGTATTTCTTCATTCCGGTGCCCCATACTGGTTTCCGTATCTCATCATTCAGGTGCCCTATACAGGCTTTCATATTTCATCATTCCGATGCCCCATACTGACTTCCGTATCTTTTCATTCCAGTACCCGTACAGGCTTCCGTATCTCTTCATTCCGGTGCCCCATAAGGCTTCTTTATTTCTTCATTCTGGTGCCCAATACTGGCTTCAGTATTTACTCATTCCGGTGCCCCATACAGGCTTCCGTTTTTCTTCATTCCGGTGCGCCATAAATGCTTCCCTATCTCTTCATTACGGTTCCCCATACATGCTTCGTGTTTCTTCATTCTGGTGACCCATACTGGCTTCCGTATTTCTTCATTCCGGTGCCCCATACAGGCTTCCGTATTTCTTCGATTCGGTGCCCAATTTAGGCTTCCGTAATATGTAGTGATCATACTGAGATTTATATCATATCTTCATGACATGAAAGACAAATAAACTCGCAGAAATGAGTAGACTGTTTTTATCATAAGATTGAGCAAAAAAGTGTATGTTAATTAAATATGTAGGGTATTTATGAGGAAAGTAGCGATGAATGTAAAATAATTTGTCATGATATTGCCAAATGTAAACACAATTCTATTTCGAATTCCAATGAAAATATATATGAAATCCCTATAAAACAATATATCATTCAACTATATGGTCAATGAGTAACTTTTTGGAAACTGTAAAACAAAACACTAAAAATATAATGTAATGAGAAACAAAAATGATATCATTTATATGGCCCAATTAGCCATTAACATTAAATTTGACATTTAATCTAAAAGTCTTGAAGGTGTCATTATAATTAAAGCATAAGATCAAAGTAAATCTCACATTTAAGTAAATTGAAATTAACAAAACAATGACATTTTAATGTATTATCATTAATTTTTAAAAAAATGCATGTGTTATATTGTTTGGTTTTATTAACCTGTCAATTACATACTGATTACACGGTCGATGCACACAGTATATTAATCTTCGGTAGATGTTCGGTAAGTTCCGTGAGATGTACGCTGTACGATAGAATTTAATTTGTATCTCTAAACTAAGTGTACTCAGCGTTATAGCGCAATAGGGTAAATCACGAGTTTATAATCTAAGTGCCACACGTGTTTCAAGTTCGAGACCGCGTTGGTCCATTTTTTTCTTATTAATACTTTAAACATTATTGAATCTATATATGATTATTTTATGTTGTTCGTTTTTTTATTATGTTTTACTTAATTTTGTTATGTATATACTCTTTTTAAATAACATGTTTTTTAAGAATTCATGTTTAAAATTAAAACGGATTAACCTCAATAAATGTCTTTTCAATGCCGTAAAACACACACACTACAAATCTGTTCCATTAAAATATACTGCAAAAATAAAGAAAGAGTACTAAAACAATGGCAACAGTAAGGATCGAACCACAGACCACTCAATTATCAGGCCTTCTCTTTACCGACTGTCCTATTGTGAATTAACGGAAACCTTCACATTAAGCTGGCGTGACTTTCAATCCATGACTAATATACTCCACATTAATTCTCGTAAACTACACGGACCAAACCGAAGTGGGATCGAATATTTAAATGAGTCCTATAATGTATTCATAATTGACAGGTCAATAAAATCAGACTATACATTTAGTGTAATTGTCAGAGATAAGCAAATCTTACTGCTGTCGTTAAACTTTGTTCCGCGCTACCACTGCCTGCCCTCTGTGTAATGCGACCTCTGAATATGGAGTTGATGGTGTTATAGAAACTTGACTTGCCGGCTCCAACTGGACCGATCATCAAGATTCTTGCGTCCTTGACATTCAAATCTTCTAGAGGTTTGAAAGCTACTATATCCTCTGTAAGCTCATCCAGAAACTGCAATGTATATTATATTTTCTGAATTTTATTTTATTGACTTTAAATCCCTTCCTTTTACGATTTATTTATTCATTTATTTATATTTGGTTTAACAGTGCACCATCACTCTTTAGATCATATGGCTCCAAAACAGGAAAGACGATTTTGGCTAACCTATGGTATTACAAATATACAGTAACGCAAGGGATCAAAACAACCTTTTCTGCTGGAGCAAAGAGATTCAGAGACTTAAGTTATTCGGACCCATTAAGTTGAAGAGATAAACAGTGGCTGCAATTTTGATGCCTCTAACCTTAAAGCCAACCTCCAGCCATTTTGTTTAGATTTGAAACTGCTCCAAGTAAATGAAGGGATATAAACTTGTTGTGTTCTATAAGCAAGTCTCACCAGGAGTCGTGATTATCTCTTGCAAAAAAATTGCTTTACTTTGCCCTGTAATGTAGATTAATCTCTATAAGCAGTCCTAATAGACGTCCAAAAGAATGATCTAAAATTTTCTAAAATAATACATGTATTATTGAGTTGGTGTATATATCCTATATAATGAAGTTAGATAGAAACATACTTTTTTATTCCATGCTTTGGTTTTTCGCCAAGGTTCTGATTTTGAGACTCTCTGACTATCTGAAAAGATGTTAAATTAAATAAAATATAAAGTATTTGTATCATAGGTAAATAACATCATTATATTTTGGATAAAAACATTCAGAATACCATTTTATTGTAGTGATGTCAATGCAGTTAAGCTCCATCTACTTCCAGTTTACCCGTATAGTGTTACATGCACATATTATATTGATTGTTGTTGAGTTTCAGTTAAGATGGGTATAAAACAGTTACAATTCCTTTTGGATCTTGTGATACACCATTCCTTTAAGGATTCAGCTAGCTATTTACAGTATAGCTAATACATTTTAACAATTCATTTACGTCAAATCAGTCCTACATTTCAATCTCGATTTTTTCTTTCACTTTGAAATGTATCAACTTCTTTTGATCCCATGACTAGAACTAACAGATAACACACAGAAAATCTGTTCTGAAATTATTAAGCAATATAATTTTTTTTAACTTATTCTCTTAGTAATGATTAAGTATTGATTAATAACTCAAAATGTTTAAACATAAGTGATTTGATTATACGCTTGTAAAGTGGAACTTACAACTAACTTTGTAGACCTCTAGCTCCGTGACGTTCAAATTGCCATTATTGATGTTGTTTATAGTTAAACCCTGGTTGTCGTAAGAGTGACCAAAGCTTGTGGAACCATTAAGAGCAAAGTACGTGCCCGAGCTGTTCACTGTGCTTGAGAAAGTGTGGATGTCATGACCACCAAATGTTGGACCGTATGATGGGTCACAGCAGAGAGCATACTGATAATGTGATGATTTTATTGGGAATTTTGTAGTATTCTCATTTCCACTAAATCGTAGCTGATACAGAAAAGCAGAAGTGTTGTTGATATACTGGCCAGAAACACTATTCCAGCTGACAGGAGCATAACCTCCATACACTGATCCTTGTGGGTTATACAGCACTGTGACTGTAGGTCCCTGGTTGTCACATTTCTGGTGAAACGTTGTAGCATTACATCCATCTCTTGAAATGGCGTAGAGAAGTGTAAATGTTTTAGGACCTGTACCTATCCATTGTTCTAGCTGGTCCATATCTTTGTCTGTTAATTTTCCTCCCATTGTGCCCCTGAATAATTACAAATGAGTCGCGTCACGACAAAACCAACATAGTACGTTTGCGACCAGCCTGATTCCAGACCAGCCTGCGCATCAGCGCAGTCTGATCAGTATCCATGCTGTTCGCTATCAGTTTCTCTACTTGTAATATGGTTTGTAAGCGAACAGCATGGATCCTGATTAGACTGCGCGGATGTGCAGGCTGGTCTGAATCCATGCTGGTCGCAAACCGCAAACCCATTATGTTGGTTTTGTCATGACGCGGCTGAAATGTGTGTATACCATTATCTATCATGTTAAAGTTAAAGTAAGTATCTTGGTTATCTTTGCTGTTTATCTCAAATAAACAAGGTGTTTTCATAAATGGGCTGTCACATAGCTTTTGACCCTAGATGACTCATTTTCAGAGTTGAGCTAGAAATAAACATAACAACCTTCTGACCAACTTCCAGGACTTTGGGCTTAGAGCGATAACAAGCTTTTTTTCCATATTTGGTCTGTGTGACCTCTGGAGTGATAAAAAGGTTTTTCCATATTTCGGCTGTGTGACCTAGTTTATGACCCCCGGATGAGCCATATTTGAACTTTAACTAGAAATTATTCAAATTATTTAAACAACCTTTCTGGCCTATGTCCAGGATATTCAAGCTGAAAATGTTATCTCCAGTGTATCTAAACTATATGAACATTTTTTTTTTACCAAAGCTACCCATATTTGAACTTGAGCTAGAAATGAGCGCATAAACCCGTCTGAAATATTTCAAAGATATTTGGTCTGACAATGTAACCTCAAGAGTGTTAACAAGATCTTTTCTAATATAGGGTTATGCGACCTAGATTTTGACCCCAATATGACCAATATTCGAAATTGAGCTAGAAATTAACTAAACACCCTTTGAATATTTAGGCTGAAAATGATTCCTCTAGAATGTTAATATTTGGACCGAAATAGTTTCCTTTAGGGAGGTTAACAAGGTTCAAGCAACTAATGGAACTAGCGTCCTGACCAAAGTTGGTGACAGTGAGGAAAAAATTGATAACTAGAGTGCTAACGAACTAAATGTGGACGGACGACAAACGACGGACATTCCACGATCCTTAAAACTCATCCTTAGCCAGTTCAGATGAACTAAAAAAATCCTCGCATCAATTTTTGTGTGATCTATTTTCAAGTTCATTTTATTATAACCTATTGTATGATAATTTCTACTGGAAGTAAAGCTTTAAGTACGGTTATCGAAATCTTTATATATGACTCATGGGTAAATTTATGAAACGCATATGAATCTTGCTAATAATACAAATCAAATGATATTTATTTGTTTACGTTTATTTACACAAGACCAGTAAGTTTTAGATATGATCTGAGAGTTTGTACTTGCAACACTTACTAGTAAGATATTTTAAAAGGATTAATAGATTAGTTTATTTTTTAGAAAAATCGGTATCTGAATACGCGGCTTATCACTTATAACAAAATACTACCGTTTATATATAAGTCTTCTGATTATATATAAGTTTACATGATAGAGCTCTACTGTTTACCTATAGCATAACACAATGTGTAATGATTGTGTGTCAACCTTATATTTTTGAAAAATAAATATTGAAAATCGCATCTTTTCTGCCCTTTACGTGAAACTTCGGATTATTAATAATAGCCGAGATGTTCCGATGGATTGGAAATATGAAATACAATTACTGCCAAAATTGCACCCTGCGTTCTCATATTACAAGAGCCCGGTTTGAGCCGGGTGATGCTCCCCGAATAGGTTTTGGACACAGGAAAGTACACATCTTGTAGTTTCAGAGTTATGTCCCTGGAAATTATTCAAAGTGCAATAATTCCAAAATTAAGCAAGGCAGAGTAACTGTTCTTTGCACTACACTTCTAATTAATGCAATCTATCAACCTACAAAGTTTCTTGTTGATAACTGTTATTGTTTCCGAGTGATGTCCCAGACAAAGTTCAAAATGTAACAAGAGCCACCGCCGGGCGGGGGCAACGCTCGACTTTTTACTTTTTCTAAACGCAAACATAGAAAGGTTTGAACATATCTTAATGTTTCCTTTTTATAAATTTAGTTGGTCTGTCTTGTCACATAAGTTTTGTTGATATATTTTGTATATATATATGAATAGAAACATTAAGCAAATTTCTAAAAATAGCAACATTTCGCAATTTCTTAAAATAGCAACATGACGCAATTTCTTAAAAAAGCAACATGACGCAATTTCTAAAAATAGCAACAATGACGCAATTTCTAAAAATAGCAACAATGACGCAATTTCTAAAAATAGAAAAAAATGACGCAATTTCTAAAAATAGCTACAATGACGCAATTTCTAAAATTAGAAAAAATGACGCAATTTCTAAAAAATAGCAACAATGATGCAATTTCTAAAAATAGCAACAATGACGCAATTTCTAAAAATAGCAATAATGGCGCAATTTATAAAAATAGAAAAAAATGACGCAATTTCTAAAAATAGCAACAAAGAAGCAATTTCTAAAAATAGAAAAAATGTCGCAATTTCTAAAAATAGCAACAATGATGCAAGTTCTAAAAATAGAAAAAATGACTCAATTTCTAAAAATAGCAACAATGACGCAATTTCTAAAAATAGAAACAATGACGCTATTTTTCTAAAAATAGAAAAAATGACGCAATTTCTAAAAAAAAATATGAAGAAATGACGCAATTTCTAAAAATAGCAACAATTTCTAAAAATAGCAACAATGATGCAATTTCTTAAAGTAGAAAAAATGACGCAATTTCTAAAAATAAAACAAGAGCGATCAGTAATCACATGTGTCGCCTCATGATGGCCAATTTCATGTTGGGACAAATTTTGTGACAGACGGACAGACAGACGGACAGTGCACAACTAGACTTGGTACTGATCATTCCTGTAAAGTTTGGATAAAATTGCACCAGTAGTTTATGAGGAGTAGTCCGGACAAGCTTTTGCGTATCTGGCAACACACAGAAAAAAACACCTTTTTATCAAAGGGCTATAACTCAGCCAAAAATCATTCAACCGGAAAACCCGTGCAATATGCGCAAGGACTTGAGCTACAGATCAATCCTGTAAAGTTTCATTGAAATTGCATAAGTGGTATAAGAGAAGTAGTCCGGACAAACTTTAAAAATAAAAATTATTAAAGGGCCATAACTCAAACAAAAATCATTGAACCGGAAAATGCTGACAATATGCACAACTAGACTTGGTACTGATCATTCCTGTAAAGTTTGGATGAAATTGCACCTGTAGTAAATGAGGAGTAGTCCGGACAAGCTTTTGTGTACCTGGCAACACACAGAAAAAGAAACCTTTTTATCAAAGGGCCATAACTCGGCCAAAAATCATTCAACCGGAAAACCCTTGCAATATGCGCAAGGACTTGAGCTACAGAACAATCCTGTAAAGTTTCATTGAAATTGCATTTGTGGTATAAGAGAAGTAGTCCGGACAAACTTTAAAATTAAAAATTATTAAAGGGCCATAACTCTGACAAAAATCATTGAACCGGAAAATGCTGACAATATGCACAACTAGACTTGGTACTGATCATTCCTGTAAAGTTTGGATGAAATTGCACCAGTAGTTTATGAGGAGTAGTCCGGACAAGTTTTGTGACGGACGCACGGACAGACAGACAGACAGACAGACGGACAGACAGACGACGGAGAAGTGATCCCTATATGTCGCCACTACTCCGTAGAGGCGACACAAAAATGACGCAATTTCTAAAAATAGAAACAATGACGCAATTTCTAAAAATAGCAACAATGACGCAATTTCTAAAAATAGAAACAATGACGCAATTTCTAAAAAATAGAAAGAATAATGCAATTTCTATAAATAGAAAGAATGACGCAATTCTATAAATAGAAACAATGACGCAATTCTATAAATAGAAACAATGACGCAATTCTAGTTGTTGTTGTTGTTGTAAATATATATATATATATATATAGACACACACACACACACACCAATAAATATATAATTATGGTCATTTAATGCACAAATCTGAGAAAATTCAGTAATTTAACCTCCAAGGTCAAGGTCATTAAAGAGCCCAAGCAAATTTGGGTTTGATAAACAACAAGGTCTGGTCCTTAAGAATGTTCTCTTATAATATGAAGTTGATCCCTTCAATAATAGCAAAGTTACAGTCAGTTACCGCCAAAACAATGAAAATTTCAATAATTTGACCTTCAAAGACAATGTCATTAATGAGTGAAGGTCAAGGTCTTTCGGTATATTTTTAACAGTAATCTTTGAAGATTATTATGTTCAAGTTTCAAGACAATCCATTCAAAAATAACAAAGTTACAGCCAATAAAAGCCAAAAAAATGAAAATTTCAATAATTTGACCTTCAAAGTCAAGGTCATTTATGAGTGAAGGTCAAGGTCTGGCTGGTTATTTTAAAGGGATATCCTTAAAGATTATTATGTTCAAGTTTGAAGACAATCCATTCAAAAATAACAAAGTTACTGCCAATAACAGCATGAACAAGCAAAAATTGGACTTTTAACCTTGAAGGTCAAGGTCATTTATGGATGAAGGTCAAGGTTAGTGTGGTCTACTGAAAGGTCTTGTCCCAAGGGTTGTTGTGGCCAAGTATGAAGACAATACACCAAGAAATAAAAAAGTTATGATCCAGGTACAAGTTTGCGGACGGCAACGGCAACGGGAACGCCGACCTGACTATAACAATACCTCTACTTTTTTTTCACAAAAAAAAAAGTCGAGCTAAAAATGAACAAAGGGCAATTACTCCAAAATTAGGCAAGGCAGAGTTATGATTCTTGTGCACTGCACATGTACCCATAGAGATATATCTACCAACAAAGTTTCATGTTGATATCTCTTATAGTTTTACAGCTATATCCTGGACAAGATTTTTCTAGAAGGGGAGATAATTCAAAAATGAGGCTTAACAGATTTATGGTTCTTTTGCACTGCACTTCTACTCAATGAGATATATCTACTTACAATGTTTCATGTTGATATCTCTTGCAGTTTTAGAGTTATGTTCCGGACAAAGTTTAAAGTGTTAAAATTAACAAAGGGCAATAACTCCAAAATTAGGCAAAGAAGACTTATGGTTACTGGGCAATGCACATCTACCCCTTGAGATCTATTTACCTACAAAGTTTCATGTTGATATCTCTAATAGTTTTAGAGTTATGTCCCGGGCAAGATTTTTCTAAAAGGGGAGATAATTCAAAATCCGGTCAAAATAGAGTTATTGTTCTTTGACACTACACTCCCCCTCAATGTTCTCTACCACTGTATAAGTTTAAACAAATTATCTCCAAGGGTTTTCAAGTAATGCTCCGGACAAGACAACGGACGGACAGACGGAGGGACGCACAGACGGTCAAGGTGGCGACTATATGCTCTCCCTTCGGAAAGCATAATAAATTATGCATTTTATTATACAAGTATGCTAGCAAATAACCGCCTTTACTGAACCTTTAAACTGGTCTGATTATGTCACACTGACTGCATTCTTAAATTTTTATCTTGTTGTTTGTTTTTTTTATCTCATGCCCTCTTTATATTTACTTTAATAGTATCCATTTTTCATATATGATAATTCTTCATTATTTACACATATCGGGCTTATCAATTCAACCAATTTGATTATAAACTAGACATGACATGTACTTATTTTGAATGTAAAAATAGATTTCAAATATATAATACTAAATCATTTGCTTACCTCTTTTTGCTGCAAACCAAACCAAAATGATTTCAGTTTAATCAAAACGAAAATAGAATTATTGTTTGGTTTTATTAACCTGTCAAACACGGTCGATGCACACAGTATATTAATCTTCGGTAGATGTTCGGTAAGTTCCGTGAGATGTACGCTGTACGATAGAATTTAATTTAATTTGTCTGTACTCAGCGTTATAGCGCAATAGGGTAAATCACGAGTTTATAATCTAAGTGCCACGCGTGTTTTAAGTTCGAAGCCGCGTTGGTCCATGTTTTTTTCTTATTAATACTTTCAACATTATTGAATCTATATATGATTATTTGATGTTGTTCGTTTTTTTATTATGTTTTACTTAATTTTGTTATGTATATACTCTTTTTAAATAACATGTTTTTTCAGAATTCATGTTTAAAATTAAAACGGATTAAAATCAATAAATGTCTTTTCAATGCCGTAAAACACACTACAAATCTGTTCCATTAAAATATACTGCAAAAATAAAGAAGGAGTACAAAAACAATCGCAACAGTAAGGATCGAACCACAGACATTTGGGGTTTGGAGCTCAAAACGCCTTTAAAATCCAAATAAAATGCATATTTGTCAATCCCAGCACATGTACTGATCATATATATCAAAAAAACTTAATATAAGCCGTTTTGAAAAAATTTCATATTTCAACATCTATAATAATACACAAGATAAAAATGTTCGCCGGAAAAAATCCGCACCCCTACCGTCATAATCACCATGTATTTTATTCCATTTCCAATATTTTCACATAATCCTTTGGTCCATCGACACAGAAGATATAATTCTTCACGATAATGGTCAATTTTAAACTTCAACGGTAATATAAACAACGCAACAGCCGAAATAAACATCAATATTATCGCCGTTTTTTTCCAACGACAAAATCTTTCGATAAATTCAATGAACCAGACGGCTATGAACGAAGCTATCCGATTATGTGGTTCCCAAACTTAAAAGCGCTGCGCATTTTGCACACGGCAAAGCTGGGGACACATAATCGGATAGCTTCGTTCATAGCCGTCTGGTCCATTGAATTTATCGAAACATTTTGTCGTTGGAAAAAAACGGCGATAATATTGATGTTTATTTCGGCTGTTGCGTTGTTTATATTACCGTTGAAGTTTAAAATTGACCAATATCGTGAAGAATTATATCTTCTGTGTCGATGGACCAAAGGATTATGTGAAAATATTGGAAATGGAATAAAATACATGGTGATTATGACGGTAGGGGTGCGGATTTTTTCCGGCGAACATTTTTATCTTGTGTATTATTATAGATGTTGAAATATGAATTTTTTTCAAAACGGCTTTTATTAAGTTTTTTTGATATATATGATCAGTACATGTGCTGGGATTGACAAATATGCATTTTATTTGGATTTTAAAGGCGTTTTGAGCTCCAAACCCCAAATGTCTGTGGATCGAACCACAGACCTTTCAATTATCAGGCATTCTTTTTACCGACTGTCCTATTGTGAATTAACGGAAACCTTCACATTAAGCTGGCGTGACTTTCAATCCATGACTAATATACTCCACATTAATTCTCGTAATCTACACGGACCAAACCGAAGTGGGATCGAATATTTAAATGAGTCCTATAATGTATTCATAATTGACAGGTCAATAAAATCAGACTATACAAGATACGATAATTACAGTACTGTTGGGAATGTGATACTCGGGTTTGCTATAGGGCGTGATACTATGTAAAGAAACTGCCACACTAACATTATATAATAAATATATTTTTCAAATAAGTCTTTTAAAAACACTTTTTCACAAATTCAATCTACTATATCACTATAGTATTCATGTTTTATTCAAGCAACTGCTGTACCATGCACTACCCATATGCAGGGATAAACAAAACACACCCAACGATAAATTACCCAAAAGATTATCTACAGTGGCTTTGATCAAGATGGCGGTCCAGATAGCATGCGTATCGTATAAAAATACTTTTAGAAAACCCAAAAATCGTACCATTTTTCGAATTCATGCGTCACCAAATACGGACGATGAAGACAAAATAAACTTGTATTCAAAATGCATGCATGAAGAATAATAAAGAGTTACCATTGGATCGTTTGAATGGGGATGTTTTACTTGGTGCAAATGCAATTCCTTTCTGCTTGGATAAAAATATTATGTCGCCAACAACGCTCTTTATTGAAGAAGTGCAAGGTTGGTAACTAAAGTCCTTAACAGTCACAGAAACAATAATTTACGACTTTTATCAGATTTTATTACCGATTTTATCATTTGCAATAGAAACATTTTATTACCATGATTTTTTCTATATTTATCGAAAAGAGAAGACATTTTCTTATGTATGTTGTAAACATGAGTATTTTGATGTAATAATTACTGTAATACTGTACACCTTTTTTTAGAGTGAAAATAATTGTTTGACTGCTGATCGTTGTAATGATTACACCATGTGCGTAAGTAGTGTTAGAGAAGTAGTTCGGACAAAATTTAAAGATAAAAATAATAACAGGGCCATAAGCTACTACTGTTTAGCAGACGACAAAATATCATTAACGGGTGAAAACGCCTTTATATTCAATGATCATAGCTCAGCCAATCAAAGCACAGAAGGCGCTGAATTTGTTTGGGTCTCAGAATGTAAGAAAGGTACAGGTTGTGAGATTATATGTATAGTGCCACCAATGCTTTCCAGCATTTTAATTGTAGTAAATTGGCTATAAGACTAATTGCAACACTGCTATTCAATCCAATGTTTATTTGACTTAAACAATTTGAAAAAAATGAGTTGCCTTTACTGGGATTTGAACTCCAGACCTCTCGCTTCCTAAGCGAGCGCGAAAACCCTTCAGGCACGGTGAATTTATATGTGAACGGCCTGAAGAAAACCGTATTATTCTAAATAAGGGCTTGCAACGACTTACACAGATGTAAATAATCCTGGAGCTTACTACATTGTATAAGCATGTATATTTATAAAGAATCAAAGGGCTGCAAGTTTTCTGGTATTTTCTGATCTTTGCAATCTAATTCGTACTGTATATCTGTATGTATTTTCCTGTATAAGTTTATTTCTATGTATTATAATTCATTTTGCAAGGCACCAGAGTTTGATACATATACGGAATTCTGCATAACTAGAGTTGCATCAAAATATCATTTATGTTCATTTTTTACGACAGCTACATTTTATCCTTGCATATCATGGCTACTTCCTTAACAAAGACACTTAAAAAAGAATTAAAAAAAAAGTTTCCTCGACTGGGATTTGAACTCCAGACCTCTCACTCACTAAGCGAACGCGTTACCCCTGCACCACGGAGAAGTTATACAAACAATGTCTGAATAACATCAAGTCATTCTAAATTTAGAACTTCCATTGCATTTCGGGTTTGTAATCCTTATTAAATTCGAGGTATTTTGTTCAGGATAAGCCTGTTGTTTAGTTCAGGATAAGCCTGTTGTTTAAAATTGAAGTAAATAATTTAGCGAAAATCTTCTCGCCCAAACAGTCCGACATGTAGAATCTATATATTCCACTATTCGGTTTGTGTAGTATTCGGTAATCGACATCGCTAAAAATAATATTTTCATTGATAAAATCATATTCATCCGCGTAATTTGTGATTGTGCATTTATTGACAATTATATAAGCCAACGCTATTTTTAAACTTTGAATGCGTTGTAATTTGTTGGATCCTTATAACAAAATGAACATATTTCTTTCTTTTAAATAGCTAGTTTTAAGCTGTTTTGAGAACTACTTGTTGCTAGGTTTGTCGTAAACCTCTGTGTCAGAGATTGAATGTCCGCTTTGTATTTACTTATTTTCGATCAGAAAATACAATAAAACAATATTAGAAATCTTCGACCATTCGGGAATTAATTTGCTTGAAAATTAATGTGCTGTCTTTGATCATCTTTACGCAGTGATCTCCCCTGAATTTTTTGGCGTTAGTGTACATATAAAGGGAAGTAACAGCTTCAAAAAAGTGGACTACTTTCGGCATTTGCAATTAACAGCATTCGACTCTGAAATTTCGCTACCATTATTTGTTTGGTCTGACGACCCAAACAAATAAAAATCATACGACTGGAAAACCCGTAAAATATGCAAAGTATTTAAATTGAGGTACCGATCAATCCTATAAAGTTTCATTCAAATTGCATTAGTAATTTAGTAGTATACACCGTGTATATCCAGTAAAGCAGAAATGTGCAAATAACACAAGAATTGTGCAAAAGTAACGCAGAATTGTGCAATTTAGAGGCTAAAACGAGCACCACGATAAGTAAATGGACCAATTTTTTTTATTGTACACCAATTTGGAAGAAAAAAAATAGCGCATACGGTTGCTGAGACATTACTTTAAACCTCATAAAAAATATTTCCATGAAATTGTTTATTTTTCAAGATCATTAGTGAAAACAAAGACCTGACTAGCGTATTGATGGCGATTTTTAGTTTCGTTGATATCTTTAAATGCAATAACATACATATTACTTTATGATTTTTTATATTCGGTGTACCTGAGACATTTTCCAATCTACTCGTGTCATATTTCACTTAATTTAGCAGATAAAACGTAATTGAGACCATTTTTACGAGGTTACGCCGAATTCGTGAATGAAGCACTGAAGCAACAGCGGTTATCTCATTAAAAGTAACTAAATCTTATTTTACCAGCTTCCTTCTATTGTTATACGACTCTTGTAATTTGAAAAATGTCTTAGGTATACAAACTATGAAAAAATAATGTTTGAAATGTGTGAAATGAACATATTTATTTCATGAAACACAAAAGTCACCTTCAAAATGGTAATCAGGTTGTATTTCTCACGAATGATCTAAAGAATTAAACATATTCCTGAAAAAATATTAATGCTGGTTAAAGTATAATGTCGTTGCAGCCGTATGCGCTAATTCGTTTCTTTGAATTTGATTTAGAATAAAATATTTTGGTTCGTTTACTTACAGTGTTATTCGATTTGGCAATACCGTTGCACAGAGTCGGCGTTACTTTTCCGTTATTTGCACATTTCGCGTCACTGGATTTGCACTGTGGTATAAGAGAAGTGGTCTGTAAATCATTAAAGGGCCATAACTGGACAAG